TAAGAGATTATATATTTAATGTTGAGGTCTAGTAGCTGTTGCTTTTCAACGGATTTAAAATGTTGGAATGAGTTTATTGTTTTTATTTTGTTTGTTAGAAAAAAGTTCCACAATTGGGGTCCTCTGCTGGATATTGAGAATTTAGATTGTCTTAAAGAGGTTTTCGGAATATAGTAGAGTATTTTGTTTAATATTTGTGATTAATAAGGCGAAAATAGTTATGGAAGACTTCACCCGACGGGCATTTGTTTTTAAAAGTTACGATCTAAATGTATTTTAAATGTCTTTTAAATGTCTTTTAAACATTAATGTTTAAAGGACGTTTAAAAGACGTTTAAAACACATTTAGAACGTATTTTTTTTTAAAAAATGCCCGTCGGGCATGGACCAGATTATTTTTGACTTTAAACATGAACTGAAGAACGCAATATATATTTTGTTCGTAGATATTAAGAACTCTCAGATCCCTAATTAAATGTTTAGAATTGGCATTTCTATTTGCGTTTGTTAATATACGGCACACTTGTTTTTGTTTTTTATATATAAAATCTAGTTTTGATTGGTAGGTACTAGCCCAGGCAATATTGCAGTAGTTAATATAGCTATGTATATATGCAAAATAAAAACTTTTAAGGCATGCATTATTTAAAATGTATCTGATTTTATGCATAATTCCAATGATTTTAGGTATTTTGTTTTTTAATATATTAATGTGGTCTTTCCAGCTAATATGTTTATCTAATAATACCCCGAGAAATTTAACTGAGAACGCTCGATTTAGCCCAACTTTTTCTAATAGAATATCTGGAAGTTTTAATGGTAGTTTGTCTGAATTGTATAGTTTTGTGAAAAAGATATAATTTCTTTTCTTAATGTTGACAGAAAGTTTGTTTGCTTTAAACCAATCGCTCAACTCTTCAAGGTTTACTGTATTAAAAAGTGTAGTAATGTGAAAAAGAATGAAGTTCAATATACTAGAAGATAAAAATGTGTCATTTATATAGATTAGGAAAAGCAGAGGTCTTAGAATAGACCCCTGGGGAACACCACATGTGACGATTTCAAAGAGAGTGTATGTTTTATTGTAAAATAAGGCTTGTTTAGGGTTTTTTAGATAGCAAATGAACCATTTTAAATTTTTATTTTCTTTACCATAATTATAAAGTTTGTATAAAAGGATCTCGTGGTCCACTGTATCGAAAGCCTTTGAAAGGTCAATAAATACTCCAAGGGTGTGTTTGTTTTTGTCAAAGCCACTTAAAATTTCGTTAACTAATTTTATTACAGCATACTCAGTTTAGTGGCCTTTTTTAAATCCGTATTGGTTATTGTAGAGAATGTTATGATTTTGAAGGTATGTAAAGAGTCTATTATACATTATGCGCTCCAATATTTTTGAGAAGCATGGGAGTATGGAGATGAGCCTATAGTTAGACAAAGTCGAGTCATATCCGCTTTTAAATACTGGAACTACGCGTGCTAATTTTATGCGGTCAGGAAAAACTCCATTTTTTAATGAGAGATTAAAGATCTAGAGAGATTAGAGATCCTAATTAAGGCAATGAAAAATAAAAATTTATATTATAACTAACTTTTATAAACGTTAATTCTTACGGTAACCGTTGCGTTAATCGCTGATCGGATATTAGTATTTTTTTTTCTGTACTAATTTATTCCACATGGATCACTTCTTACTCACTTCAATATTATTTATTAAGATAAAACAGTTCTCTAAATTAATTGCTTTAAGCAATAAATTTAGAAAACTATTTTATTTAGTTTTATTTAGTCCAGACAAAAAGTTCAAAAAAAAAAAATTAACATGCGCACCTTTTCCATATACAGATCTTATAAGAGTATCTTATATAAGTGGATTTTCTGAAGTGAACTACTAAAAAAATTTAAGAAAGAAAATCTTCTTGACGGTGTTAAATGCCCAGATTACAATAAATTAACTTGTAGACGAAAGAAATGAGACTTACTTTTTGTTTCTTGCTGCTTTATGTTATAATCGAAATGAAGAGGAAGAAACCACATGGCCGAGTTTTACTGGCTTTAGAGTACAGCTGGCGCACACATCATAATACAAAAATCAAATGATTTTGAATCTATTAATTTATTACCGGATTATTACTTTATTACCTTTTATTGCTTTATTACCAGATTTAATTACATAACCGCAAGGTAGTTTTACAGTCGTTTAAGAGTTGGCGTATATTTCGCAATACAAAAATCATTTAATATTAATACCTTATATTTCAGCATTTCTATTACCCGATTCGGCAGAAACTAAAATTATGGCGTAAATTTAGTACTTTTGGGTTTTTCTGTTTGTCAACTTCTAAAGTTTTTTTTTTCATGCTATCCGGTACTTTTTAGGGCTCTTGACCAGTTATAGTTCTGAAGAAAATTTCAGTTTGCATGTAACAGAACTGTTGTGCGAATCGCTATTTATTAACTAATTAGATACTAGTAGCTAATTAAATCTAAAAAATATTTAGAATAACCGCTTGACATGTCTTAAATAATTAACATCGGCTTAAAAAATTTGAAAAACATGAGATGGCTTAAATATTAGACTTGTAAGTCTATTCCACTCCAGCCATTTTAATAATTTTGCTTTATTTCATTAAGTTTTAAAAAAGAGCAAAATATAAAAAACTTTGTTTTGAGTTAATGATTTATGTTTAAGGGATATAAACCCCTAAAAATTTTCAAAAAAACCAAAAAAAAAATAACTGAACTGTTTTTGATACTTAAATATACGGGGAATTCAAAAGTCATAGTGGCTATGTCTAAAACTTTTCTGAGTCTTAAAGTTATCCATTTTTTCAAGTTGTAAAAAATGTCGTTTTCAAATAGTAAGTTTACCTCTTGTGGTACACCTAATGACTTGATGACATAAATGACTTCTGTAGCAAAGAAAGCTCGGTATTAAAAAGCCTATTTGGCTTCTGGTTTGATTTTAAAAAACTATCAGAATAAAAAGTTCCTTTTTTTTTATCGAGATTTGGCTCAATTTTTATCAAAATTCTCAACAGAAAATAAATTTTTTTAAATTTTTTAACATGGTAAAAATAGATAGAATTAAATCAAGAACAAAACGAGCAGTAAAAAGAAAAAAAGATTTTTAATGGAAAAGTGCTATGTTGCAATGATATTTTTAATATTGTAAATTCTCCTTCTTTAAGTGATAATATTGAATCTTTTGTTGGTAATCAAACAGACATCTTCAGTACGTCGAATTCTTCTTTTCATAAAGTTGAATCGCTTTTCAACTCAACACTGCAATGTTATGCCCATATCAAAAACAAATGACGTCAATGACGCAAAAAAATGATAAACTTGTTTTGAAAATAGCTGATATTACAGAGGATGTTGCACAGGAAACAATAGCTGATGCTGTTGCTGGTTTAAAACAAAATTGTCAAAATGATGATGAGATTTTGGATATTGGTGTATCGTGTGACGGCACATGGCAGCGTAAGGGTTTTTCCTCATTAAATGGTGTTTTTGCAGCACTCTCAATGGACAGTGGGAAAGTATTAGATGTTGAGGTAATTGAGTCTGCAGGGGGTGCTCTTTAAATCAGAAACTTGCTAAAAAAGATCCTCTGCTTAAGTCCAGTGGAAAAATTCCCATATTTGAAAAAAGCACTAAATTGGTTCTGCAAGTGGAATGAAATGCGAAGGAGCCAACCGCATTTTTCAGCGATCTATTAAAAAACACAAATTGAAATACATTAATTTTTTGACGGAGATATCAAAAGCTACAATAGTGTCAAGAGTGTTAATCCTGGCACTAAAGTGACTAAACTAGATAGTGTTGGGCAATACCAAAAGCGTGTTGGAACCTGACTTCGAAAATTGAAAAAAAATGTGAAAGGACTTGGTGGTCGTGGAAGGACTTGGTGGTCGTGAAAGGACTTGGTGGTCGTGGAAGATTGACAGATTCGACAATTGATCGACTGCAAAATTTCTTTGGTTTGGCAATTAGACAGAATACTGGTGATTTAGTTGCCATGAAATCATCAGCGCTTGCAACACTTTTTCACGTAGCATCATTGAACGTTAACAACTGGCACTACCCACATTGCCTAACGGGTGCAAGTAGTTGGTGTGAACTCAACAGCGACAAAGTAAATAGGACCAATATCTACACGCCAGGTCCTGGACTTCCCTTAGATGTTGTGAATAAGATCAAACCTGTGTTTGAGGACCTTATTAAAGAAGTGGCAAAACACAAAATACGAATGAGTCTTTCAATGGAAAAATTTGGAATTGTATACCGAAGACAAAATTTGATTTCAGTAAACTCCTTGACAGTGCTCAAGTTCGGTGCCTACGACGCTGTAGCAAATTTTAATATTGGAATGAAGTCGCAAAAAGTGAAAAAAAAAAAAATAACAATAATCCACAAACATGCCAAATATAACATACAAGACTCTAATTGAAATTAGAAACCTCCTGTTTCAAATGTTTTGCCATCTTTTTCTATGGTTTGGTCATTTTTCTTAATTTTTTCAGCCCTTAACTTTTGACGACGCAATTTTTTATGTGACATTCCTTGATAGATCGACCATTTAATACGACCTTTGTTTATAGCGTTCGAACCGTTTATTATAAAACAGCGGCAGCTGCAATGATCCATCTGCACTAATATTAGCTATAAAGAAATGTGAAAAAAAATGAACAAAAAACAAATGATGGGCAAGAAAATTTAAATGCAGCCATACTTTAATGAAGTATTTAGATTTCAAGACAATAAGGCATATCAAAATAAAAGAAAACTCTGAACAGATCTTTTGGAGAAATCAAAGTCATTTCTCGACTTAAATTGAAATTGATTATTTTCATTAATCTGCTGTCTCATAAAAAGTGATTCCCACCCCACCTCACTACGCCACTGGATTTAAGTGTTTTTTAAGCTTCAACAACTTTCCGGTAGCTTGACATAAGTAGAAACAAATAAAAACGAATTAAAACCCGTCATTTTCTTACTTTATTTTCAGTTTTAAGTTTTTTTATATGGATTAATCTTTTACATAGAAAACAAGTATACAAATAAATTATGATATAAAATAGATAATTATAGCTGGAGTCATGATTATTCAATTTTGATAATGAACACATTGGCGTGGTTTTTTCATCGGCAGAAATTTGTCAGTAGTATCAATATTTCAAACTTTCTGTATTCTTCCATGATAATTTCCGTAAGGCGATCACCAACAATATTCAAACCTAAAAAAATTCAAATATAAGAACTATTAAGGAAAACACTTTTTACTCTTTTTAATTTAAAAAAGTATTCACCCTTCCTTGAATGTGAATATATTAAATACGTTCTTCTCTGAGTTTAAGACCAACATCATCATAAAACATGCTAAGATCCTATTCATATACATTTAATGCAACCATGTCATCACATCTCGTTGTTTAACTTTTAACCTAAAAAAATGTTGCAAATATTGTTAATAAACAACAAAAAAATTTATAAAGATAAAAAAGCCTTAAAAAGAAAAAAAGAGTTGAAATGTTAACTTAAACATCAAGTATCTCCAAATAACACTATTATCCTTAACATTTTTGTAATTCTTAACAAGATGAATTATAAAGGATTAAAAGTTTGTATAAACATTACCTGCTGCCATAAAATGTTTTTTTTTTTAGAACATGTTAGTAATAATTTGGAATCACTTTAAAGTTACGAAGTAAAAGGTCCAAATGCATATCAAAAGGATGAAAACATCCCTCTAATAAACAATTAGATACTTCGCCAAACTTTTAGTTTTATTTTTAAACTCATCAAAAGTGACATTTAAAAATCCCATTTTAATTAGGTCAACTTTTTTAGTTGTATTGAATGTAAGAAAAATTTTCTCATGGTCTTATAAATTATTAATATTTCCATTTAAAGTTATTCTTAAAATAACATCAGTATTATACTACATCCTGGATTGATAAAATTTATGTGCTTCGAAAAAGTATTTTTACAAAGAAGATAAATAAATTCTGACTTAAGTATTTGTATGTCTCAGGACATATTATAATATGTCCTGAGATTGTGTTTAAGCTTGTGCAAGATTGTGTTTAAGCATTTGCCTATAGGCAAATGCTTAAACACAATCTTGGAGCTCTTGCTAAATGGGTTACAACTTCAGAAGACATTTCCTTAAAACTTTGTGAGTATTAACACCAAAGATCAGCTTATCTTATTTGATCAGCTGATTTACACTATGATGGAGTTGATGATATTTGCTCGCTAATTATTTAAAATAATTGCTTAGAATAATTATTTTTAAAATCAGATCTTTTGTCTTGCCTTTTACACTTTTTTTTTTACTATTTCTCAAAAATATTACATTAGTTCCAAACAAAAATTACGTTTAAAAATGGATATAAGAATCTAAATAAAATATAAAACCTCACTAAAAGAAGTACAAACATCAACAAAATCCATTTAGTGGTCTATATTCTTCACAAAACAAAATAATATTCTTCATAATTTTCTAATTCATTCTGTTTTGCAATGCAAGCATCCTATTGAAATATCTTTTAAAATATAAATTTGAAATAAAGATTTTTGAAAAAAAAAATTTGAATTTGCATATTATTGGAATATAAAAAATTTTAAAATTTTACAAAGTTTGTTTTTGAGAGGTACTCAAAGTTTAATGAATGGAGATGAATGGGGATAAATGGTGCTAATATGTACTTTTAGAGGTATTTTAAACATTAAAAAAACTCTAATACACGGCTGTTCAGAGTGAGTTTTAGGGCTACTTGTTTTTTTTTTACTTAAAGGGTGTTACTAAAGCATTTATAACTTTTGAAATATTTGAGACAATTATGTTTTGTAAAAAGAATAAAAAAAAAAAAAAAAAATGTTTTATCATACGACATTTGATGCAATAGTAAAAAAACTTCTTTTAGTTTATAAAAACGCGACAAATGATGAGCTTGACTAAATTTTAGTAATTTGTCGTTACTTTTTATCAAAAAAAAATCGGAAAAATATATTTCTGATAGTTATTATCAAATACACTCGTTGTTTGATTATTATTAAAATAAAAAAACTTTACTTAATTGTTAAAGATTAACCAAAACAGTTTTTATTGAAGTCTGCTTGTGGATTAGCCACGAGAAAAAAAACCCGCCAAATTTAGTTTACTTTATACACTAAAACAAATTAATTTAATTGCATTGTAAATTGGGAAGTAACGCGTTTAAAGTTACGTCATTGCTTTAAAATTTAAACAAAATTTTTACGCATGTAACTACAAATTTTGTTGCTAAACCTGCCAAGGTTAAAGACGCTTTAGCTCGAAGTACAGAAAGTAATTTTTTTTTATTTTCATGTGCATAAAGGGTTGTAATTTCAATAATTTGGTGAACTTAACACAAATATAATGTTTTTCATATAAAATAAGTAATAACAAAAATATAAATGCTAAAAAATCCAACTTAAAATCATTTTTTATCAATGTTAACCAAATATCTGATAAATTTGACATTCGTTAATAAGTATATAAAATTTCAACAAGCATGTAGCTTAAAATATTAAATCTTGATCGGCCCGAGACAGGTTTTCCGTTAAAATTGCAAAAAAAACAGAAAAGTGATCCCAAATCATTTAAAATATTTTAACAATGCTTGTTTTTATTTCGTTTAATCTAAATATTTATTTAAAAAAGAAAGATAGTTCTTTTATATTTTTTTAACTTGAAGATAAAAGCGTTTATAGAAAAAAAAAAGTATTATTTTAAAGTTAGTGAATTTTTATACTTTTTATGCGGAAATAGGTTCTTTTTTTTTAAACACAAACGTCTTGAGACGTCAAGTTCGCTTTTATATTGAGTGAAACAGCCGTAAATATGTATGGTTTTTAGGCATGTGACGGAATATACTTTTGAATTAACAGCCATCAGCTAAACCATCTTTTTACTCATAAAAATTAGTCTCTTCATCTAAATTATACAACTAACTATTCGGCAACATCCCAGTTAGCACACGACGTTATTTAGACGTTGATTTACAGTTGATTTTTAGTCGCGACATCGTATAACCAAAAATCGACGTTGTATCAACGTTGAAAAATTTGTTTAAAACTATGAAATAAAATCGACGTTAATTCCACGTTAATTCAACGTCAATAATCCGAGTTCGATCGTTCGTAATTGCAATATGAGAACTAAAATACGCATGCGTTACTTAAAATTTTTTTATCAACATAACAAATAACAAGTAAAAACTTAACAAGTTACTTATTAGCCCAATAAAAACAAGTAAAGTCACACATGCTAATAAATTAGGTCATCTGTTGCCTTTTTATAAGGTTTTGAATTTGACAATTTAAAAATAATACATAGCTTAACTTGTGATGCAGTTAGTTAGGTAAATATTAAATGGATATTTCTTTATGACCGTATTATTTCATGAGTGTGGATTACAAGTAGAGACTTCTTGATATATTATATAAATATAAAATATATATTATATATGTTTTTCTTATATATATATATATATATATATATATATATATATATATATATATATATATATATATATATATATATATATATATATATATATATATATATATATATATATATATATATATATATATATATATATATATATATATATATATGTATATATATATATATGTATATATATATATATATATATATATATATATATATATATATATATATATATATATATGTGTGTGTATATATAAATATATATGTATATATATATATATATATTATATATATATATATATATATATATATATATATATATATATATATATATATATATATATATATATATATATATATATATATACATTATGTATATATATATATATATATACATTTATATATATATATATATATATATATATATATATATATATATATATATATATATATATATATATATATATATATATATATATATACATTTTGCTCTTTATACTTTAGTAAAAAATCTATAATAATTATGTCACAAAAGCATTATACAAATAATGATCAAACTGCAAATATTATTTGCAGTTTGATCATTATTTGTATAATGCTTTTGTGACATAATTATTATAGATTTTTTACTCAAGTATAAAGAGCAAAAGTTTCATCTGCAACTATTCTTTGCACAACTTATGTTGAAGAATTGTGCAAATCTTGTATTGAAACTATTTTAAAAATTACCAACTCTAGTTTGTGAACGACAATTGATGAAAATGATGCTTCTGGTAGTGATTTCGCCGGTTATCCGGTTTTTCGGTTAACCGGATTTTGTTCGAATATCAAATATATATTTCCGAATAATAAAAACCGACTTTAAATTTGACTAAATTTATAGAAAGTAACATCTTACTTATGACGATTATTGTTTGACAAATGCTAATTTATCAAAGATTATAATAAATTTCTTTTATAAATTTAAATGTTAATTTAATCAGTTTTGTTTGATAATATATTGTAAAACAATTTACAAAAGAAATCTCAAAGATTTATTTATTACTTTTGCAACTCAAGCAATACATTTTTAAGGAAGTTTATTTGGAATATTCTGGAACTTTAATTCGCTTATTTAGCGTATTTTTTGAACCAATAGAAATCGTTTATGCGTATATTTGGCGGTAATTTATGCGCAGATTTGGTGGTAACAAGATGTTTTAGAGAACTTTTGAGAATTCAAAGTTTATCCATGTTTCCATCTATGTCCGCATATCAATAAGTTTTCGCTAAAAAAGTTTATAATATCTATCAAATGTTTTTATGAGAGAATGCTTTTGAAACATCCGCTGATATTAAAACATTTTGATAAAAAAATTGCAAGGCTTATAGTTAAGTTATGTAACTATGTAACAAGGTTATATAGTTACATAAGTATGTTATGTTATGAGCTTAACTTTTTTAATTTAATTACATGAATCAATTTTTCTATATGAAAAATTATTTGTTTTGTTTAGAGCATAATGTCTAGTCTTAAAAAGAGTATTGTGTGGAAGTTTTTTAAAAAAATTGACAATAATTTTTCTGTGTGCAGTGTGTGTGGTGAGAAAATATCGTGCAAAGGAAGAAGTACATCTGCAATGCAGAATCACCTCAAATTGCCTCATCCTTCTAATCAGGTTGTTGCTGGAAGATCTGGTGCAGGCAATTTTTGTATCCAGGTTAGAGATATTTTTTTTTATCAATTAATTATGTATATATATATATATATATATATATATATATATATATATACATTATTTGCATTTTATTTACAGGAGCTCCACCAATAGGATACACATTAATTGTCTCAAGAATATCTTTGCAATTTGAGGCAAGAAAGGCTGCCATTTTTGCAGAAGTTCAGACAATTATGGGACAACTAAACATATATCCTTGTCTCACAACAGATGGCTGGACATCGAATTCTAATGAAAGCTTCATAGCTATTTCAATTCATTTAATTGACAAAAACTGGAACCTT